TCGGGGCTTGAGGCATCATGACATGATCCGCCGTCTGAGACGCTGGCTGGTTAGGCAACGGGGGAGCGGCCGAGCCGCCTCCCGGTGGGAATCAGCATGGCGCTGCCCGCCGCATGGCCGGCAGACCCGCCACCTCTGTGATTCCAGTGGATACTTCGCTCAGATCACCGGCTGATCCGACCATCCCAAGGCCCTGCCTCATCTGACCCAGCGCCTGAGTCGCTCGATTTATTTTGCTCTTGCGACGGTGGAGGAAGATGTCAAGCGCAAGTAACATGGATATCTCCCGATCAAGAACATCCCACACTGTGTTCAAACCGCTTCGGGATGGTATGTAGTACATGACTCAGCCGCGCTCGTAGCTGGTCTCCCGGTTTCGCCATAACTCTTCAACCCGAGTCGTGGATCGAATGGATTTTGATTCCCTTCGGAATGTCTCTTCATCCTGGGTCCGAAGCTTCGGGCTACGACTGACTGGACAAAACCTACAAATGCCCGCAAATCCTTTGTGAAAGCCCGCTTCCCGTAAGTGGATTCGAGGCACGTTGATTCGCAACTAAGATTGGCACGGCGCGGCTGTCCTGCGCCATGTGAGCTCGCAGGTCTCGAACGAAGCTGTTACTTGTCCCCTCCACGAAGTTACTGTTTCCTCGCGGGCAAGTTCGCCATGTCGTAATCTTCGGCTGATCGACGAGAAGTTTCCATTAATCCGCCGATCCGGCGTGTGAGTTTGTGGCTCTGCGGGGGTAGGGGGAGGGGAGGAGGAGGGGGGTCGCGTGGCGTGGGTTCCGATGGCGCGGGGCGTGGGGGGGTCGGTCCCCCGTCCCGCCTGCGGACAAGGGGGATTGGGGGAAGAGGGCGGGGGTGCAATAGCCGGGGTGGCCTTGCCAGGGTAGGGGTAGGGGGGGGGGTCCGGTGGCGTGGGTTCCGGTGGCGTGGGGGGGGGGGCCTGGTCCCCCGTCCCGCCTGTGGACAGGGAGAATTGGGGGAAGAGGGGGGGGAAGTCCTGTGGCGTGGGTTCCGATGGCGCGGGGGAGGGGAACGGTGGGCGCCGTGGCGTGTGAATTTGAAGGAGCCTCAGCTACAGCCTCGAGGCTGAGCTTCGGCCTCCGAGGGGGGTTGCCAGGGTGGCTCTGCTGGGGAAGAAGGGGGGGGTGCGCGCGCGTGCGCGGGGTACTGTTTGTCCGCGCGCGCGAGAAGGGAACCGGGGAAAGAAGGCAAAAGAAGTGGAACGGGACAACGGCGGAAAACGGTGAACAAATGGGGGGGGAGAGACGAAAGTGGCGGTGAAATGCGTGTCTGTTGTGTGGTTTGTGTGTGTGTGTTTGTGTGTGTCTGTGTTTGTGTGTTTGTGTGTGTGTTTGTGTTTGTGCGGTGTGCGTGGTGTGCGTGTGTTTGTTGCCCGCCGTGTGCGTGTGTATGTGCCTGCGAAGGTGGCGCGCGTGTGTGCGTGTGGTGTGTGTGTGTGTGTGCGTGTGCGTGTGTGTAGCGTGTGTGTGTGTGTATGTGTGTGTGCGTGTGTGTGCGTGTGCGTGTGCGTGTGTGTGTGTGCGCGTGTGCGCGTAATGTCTGCGAGCGTGTGCGCGCGTGTCTGTCGGCGAAGTGTCGCCGCCGAGTCTGGGGGGCACCTCAAGCGACCTGGATCGGCGGCACTGGCCGAAGCCACTACAATAACCAGCCTTTTGCCACAGATGTGGCAATGTCTGTCCTCATGATCTCAAGATCCCCGTCTCCTGGTGATATGCTGACCACATCCACATCAGCACGCATACCGCGGGGACCGGCGACCACAGACGGGGGCAGCCGCGCCCCTTTTTGCACTCATGGATACATACAACAGCTTCGGAGCAGTACGATGGTGAGAACAATCAACTAACAATCCATGTATAGAGGCGGCGGCGGAAACAAACACAGGGCAATGGTAGAGTCCCAGCAACTCCCCGGCCTTCTGAACATGTTTGTTTCGCCTTCTCCGAAGACGCAAAAACACCTCTCAGAAGGCCAAAGGGTTTATAAGATGCCTCGCCGCCTTCTGATAGGGCCTTTTATGTATCACTTCCCTCCATTGCTCGCCGCCGAAGGTGGGCAGATCCTGAGCCTACGTAGGATCATTGCGTAAGCCCTGCTGGCATGGCCATACAGGCGTTGGCAATCACAACAAGATCCTGCGTCCAGGATTTGTCTGGCCAGGACTGGTGTAGGTCTATACGACAGGTTCGCGTAGTCACGATGTCGGCGCTGGTTCGTGATACTAACAATCAACATTGTAACATGCACCCATACCAACGGGGGAAACGTAAAGAGCTATGGGTGCGTGTTGTCGGATGGAGTTGCCCGGTCGAACGGGAGCCTCCCCCGAGGTCCTGCAACCCGCACCCATACCCATGTACCAGTCCTCGTCCCTCCGACCCCCCAATGGGTATGGGTGTGGGTGTGTGCGTTGTTTTTTCGTCAGATGCCGCGTTGATCGTTCAGCCCTAAGCTATCGCTGCTTCCCGACTGGCCAATTGCTGACGGCGTTCAACCTCGAACGCCCGCGTTCAATCTTGGATAAGGCCTCGCCATGGACATCACCGCCGCCCCCATCAGAAAGAAATCCTCCACGGTCGGTCTGAAGCCTCCTGGACACATTCCTGAACGAGCTCCCCCACCATACAACGCTGCCCTCTGGTTTTCGGGCAATAACTCGGCCCTCAGGCGGCCGTTCTGGACGATCTGGCCCCCCGCCGATCGCTCTCGACGAGGCGTGGCAAATGGAACGCACCCCGAGGCTGGTAAACCGTTGAGAATTTACGAGACTGCCCGGAAAACATCAAACCTCGGACCTCAACCGTGAAAGACTGGCGCCATAACGAACGCCCCCACCATCTTGGCCATGGGTGCATGGCTGGCGCCCAACCGACCCTGGCGGCACCCCGCCGGGCAAGTCCTGTTGGGCGCGAACTACTGGAGGAGATAAATGGTGGGGCAGCGAGGGCTGCAGAAAAGTGGGGCACTAAAAGGGCACCTTTCTTCCCTCCCATTTTATCGCCCCCCCCACTAATTCGCGCCCAATCCTTGACCCCTGAGACCTCCGCCGGCCGCCTCGCCGCGCGACCCCCCCCCCACTCCAGGGCACGGCGACGACGCCGCCGCCGCCGACGTCGAAGACGTCGCCGACGACGACGCCGACGACGACGACGATGACGATGGTGGTGGTGATGATGATGATGATGATGATGGTGATGATGATGATGATAATGATGATGATGATGATGATGATGATGATGCTGATGATCATGATGATGATGATGATGATGATGATTATGATGATGATGGTGATGATGATGATGATGGTGATGACGGAGATGTTGATGATGCTGATGCTGATGCTGATGCTGATGCTGCTGCTGCTGATGATGATGATGATGATGACGTTGCCGCTGCTAGTGATTATGATGCTGATGCTGATGCTGATGGTGATGATGGTGATGGTGATGGTGATGGTGATGATGATGATGATGATGATAACGATGATGATGATGCTGATGGTCATGGTGCTGCTGATCATGATGATTGTGATGGTGATGATGAGAATGCTAATGATGATGCTAATGATGATAACGGTGGTGATGATGCTGCTGATGATAACGATGATGTTGGTGATGATGCTGACAATAAGGTTATTGATCATGTTGCTGATGAAGGTGATGCTGAAGATGGTATTGACGTCGACGTCGCCGACCGCACGCGGCGCACGGCAATGGCGCCGACGGCGCTGACCAGCTGTTTCCCAATGAAGTTCTCGGTCTCTGGAGGCCCGCTGCAGGCCCCAGTGCCGTGAAAACCTGACCGTGGACGACAAGCAGGTCCTGCGAACAGTGTCCAGGGGCCTGGGCCCAGAAGACAGTCGAGCCGCCAGACGTCTTGGCGAGCGCTACCTGCACCTGGCACACAGAAGCACGTCAACGTTCGTGTTCGCTCGATTGTCCTCTCGATCGGGGGCTCCCCGTGTCCTCGCGATTGTCCTCCGATTATCCTCTCGATTGTCCTCTCGATTGTCCTCCGCGTGTTCGCTCGATTGTCCTGCGTGATCTGAGCGCGCTCCACCACCTCTGCCCCCCCCCCCTGCGGTTGTCTGCTCCCCCCTTCGCGCTTCGCTCCTCGCACCTTCCTCCTCGCTCCCTCCATAGTTCCTCCTGCCTCCTTTGTGTGCCCTCCCTTACCATCTCTCGATCGCAGCCTCCGAAGGCCTTCACACCTGTTCAACCCCTCCAATAGATCACGTTACTGCTGCTCCCCAGACCTCTCCCAGGGCGCGCCCTTACCAGCATGTCGAGGCGATCCACCAGCGGCGACGACGACCTCCCAGGAGGCCCCACAAAAGGCGAGAGTGACGCATGAGTTTCAGTGTCGGCACGGCCTCACCAACGACACGAGAACATCCTCCAAGGGGAGCGGCAGGGGGAGGGGGGCTGGCTCAGGGGGGAAGCAGCGGCCTGGAATCGGCGATCCATCGCAGGTAAGTCGGCGACGGGCCCCCCGTGGCAGAACCGCGCGCTCCTGACTGGGATGGGCTACTATCGGGCACCTGCGGGCGATCAGCGGGCGATTGCAGCCGGGCCTGGGACAGAAAACTTCCTCCAAGAACGCGTGGGACCCCCTGCCGGCCAACCCGAAGAACAGTCGAGGGTGCATTCCCCCCCAGGATGCACGAGAACATCCAACAGACACAAAGCACCTTAGGGCACCCTTCCCGAAGCGAACTCGATCTGATACCTGTCCGACCCCGTACCTCTTCCTCCTCCGATCGGCTACACGCAAGAGTGTCCCCAAGCAAAAGTGACCTTGCGGTTTATCGGGGGACGCGGGGTGGTCAAATCTGGGCGCGCAAGCCGCTACTTCCGACTCGCATTCAGCGATCGAGGGACGCCATTGGGCCCGCATCAAAGGTTACTCCGGCGAAACGTCACTCTTGCGTCTAGTCGAACTCTTACTCCTCTGACATCCTCCCAGCGCGCCGCGGTCGCCGAGCACGCAGCGCAGGGCCGTGCCCAGCTGCCCCGGCTCGCCGGTCATGGTCAGGAGGCGCTCCTCGGAGCGCGGGCGGGGCGATCTCGGTGAGGAGGGCGGGCTGCGGGCGGGGCGGCGAGAGGAGGCCTTTAGATATGGATTGAATATGTGTATTTTGGTGTGTACAGTGTGTATTTGTATAATCATATACATACAGACATAAAGCGTTGAAGACCTAGAAGCGGCATCCCAGGCGGAGGAGGGGGCCGTGTGCGACGCGCAGCTTTGCAAAGAAACGTACTCCTGCGCGGCTGTTGGCGCTGGAGCGTCTGGAGCAGCTGCGTAAAAAAGGAGCCATGAGACGAACGGGCGACCCATCAAGAAACCGGGGGCAGCGCCAGGCATCTAACTGGATAAACAAGTTTGTGCACCCTGTTGTCTTACCTGAGACAAGCACACGCAATCAGGAGGACGATGCGAGCGTGACCTGTTCAGATCGAGGCCATAACTGAACGGCAATGGGGGCAAACCAAAATTTGAAGACCTCGAAACAAAGAGCGTCCTCCTGGGCTGGGTATGTACCAAGCAAGGTGTCAAGCTTCCACAGGAAGCCAAGGTCGTGCTGTAGAGCAGTGTTTGAAACTCGCTGCTTGCACTCGGCGGCAGTATCCAAGTCGACACTGCATACGCAAAGAACGGCAGGTCGCTGCTCGCCATGGGGGGGCAGTTGTGCATCCCGAAAAGGGTCGTGAATAGCAAGTTCTACCTCGCGTGCGTCGTGAGACGAGGACGGCGCGTCGAAAGAGACGACGGGCTTCGGCACCACCATCTGCACGATCGAAGCCTCCGGCACCCGGAACAAAGCCCAAGTGAAGCCTCTGGCATCTCGAGCGGGGGGCGACTGTCCAGGCTGAGCTTCCTGCATTTCGTCCAGGAGGACCACCTGCGGCAAGGGCGCCTGAAACGGCGCCAGCGGGCAGCTCAGCTGGGCAGCCTCGCGCGACACGAGAAGTCATGGGGAATAAGCCGGCAGCGCGTGAAACGGCTGAACAGCATGAGTACCGACTGGTCCAGCAGGTCAGTCAGCTGGCGCACGAACCTCGGCAACGGTGTCACGACGATCTTGATGCTGACAGGGCCTTGGGCGGACTAAGCCGCAGGCTTGCGCCAAGCCGCGGATGTCGCCTGCGCGAGGCACGCGTCCGACTCGGGCCGCGTCGCGGAGCCTCCGCGCTGCGGCGAGGAGGCGCGGCCTCGACTGCCGGCGGGCAGCACCATACCTGGGCCAAGAATGAAATGGCAAATGGGCGGTCACTCGCGCACGGAGCCTGGAGGAGGGGGGGGAGGGAGGAGGGAGGAGGGAGGGTGGAGGGAGGCGGGGGGGAGGGAGGCGAGGGGAAGGAGGCGGGGGGAAGGGAGGCGAGGGGAAGGAGGCGGGGGGAAGGGAGGCGGGGGGGAGGGAGGTGGAGGAGGAAGTTGGAAGGGGGAGGGCGCAGCGTTGGTGAAGCGGGCAGGTAGGAGGGATGAGGAGGAGCGAGGAAGGAGGAGGCGGAAGGACGAGGGATGAAAGAGGAGGTGGAGGAGAAAGAGAAAGGGAGGGAGGATCGAGGAAGGATGAGGAGGAAGGACGCGGGAGGACAGAGGAGGAGTTGGAGGAGTAAGTGGCGGGAGGCGGAGGAGGAGGGAACGTTGGATGAGGGAAAAGAGAAGAGGATGACTCTGAGGAAGATGACGATGAGGAGACGTGAGGCGGGCTGAGGAGGAGGCGGACGAGGAGGAGGTTGGTTAGGAGGTGGGAGCGCGGAGCGGAGAGCAGGAATAATCATCAAACCGATTTGGTTCAGCGAGCCAGCAGGCTCCGCCCGCTCCTGCCCATGAGAAAAACACCACTGCCGGCACACACGATGTTGGGGCTTGGAGCGGGCCCCCACCCAGCGAACAGGGGGCGCACGCGCGCGCCAGGCCCCAACTCCGACGACCTGGCGCGAGAAAACATGGACACCGCACGGGCTGTGGCGGAAACGCTGGAAACACCTTGCGCGTCCGCGCACGGCCGAGAGCACCATGCGGCCCGTTCGCGCGCAGCCAAGGGACGTGATGCGCCCCGTTAAAGCGGTATCGCAACTTTCAGCCGAAATCGACGCGGCGCTTGGGCGAGAACGACATTTCGCTCGCTCGCGTGGGCCACCACTCCGACGAACAGGACAGCGAAAACAAATTTCGCCTTGCTAAAATCTGCGCTGCGCTTCGGCGAGGTCACCATTTCACTTTCGGACCTCCTGGGGTCTCTTGGGGCCTCCTGGGGGCCTGCTGGCGGTCTCGGTGGCCCCCGTGGGGCGGGGGGGCTCGAGATCTTAATTTGAGTTCCTCCTCTTGGAGCCCTCTGGGAGCCCTCTGAGGGGCCGTCTCGGGCGCTTCTTGGGCCGTCTTGCGGCCCTCTTGGAGCGTCCCGGGGCCGTCTTGGGGGCCTCTTGGGTTGTCTTGGGGTGATCTCGGAGGCCTCTTGAGCCGTCTTTGACGCCGTCGAGGCCGAAAGATATCAGCATCACAACTGCATGCGTCCCTCTTGGACATTTCTTGCCTCTTGGAGCCCTGGAGCTCCGGGAGGCCTCTTGGAGCTCTGTTGGGGGGGCTCTTGGAGGCCTCTTGGGACGTCTTGGAAGCTCCTTAGGCAATCTGGAGGCCATCGGAGGCGTCTTGGACCGATCGCTCGGCGACTCGGGGCCCTCTTGGAACGCTTGGAAGACCTGTTGGCGCCAGCCCCTTGGCCCGTCTACGGGCCCTCTTGGGGCGATCTGGGGCCCTCCAGGGGCGCTCGCGACGCAGCCCCGCCAGCGGGCCCGAGGAAAAGGCAGATCCGCATTGTATGTCAATAACTACCCATTGTATTAGGAGAATAATAGATACATGAACGTGTATCTAGATGTATATATACGCATACACATATATATATATATATATATATATACCAGAACCACGCGCGCTTCGCGCGCGCTTAGGTTCTAATCGACCCCATCCCTTGAGGAGAGCCCGTATCCACTGAAGTGATTACCCATTGATGGTGTAAGCATGAGGTACAAGAAGCATCCATAATGCTGGCCGAACAGAACCCAAGCACCGACAATGACATATGCTCCTTAATCCGCCGACCCTGTCGGCGTGTGTGAGGCGTTCTTCCGTTTGTCGTCGTCGGTGTCGTCGTCGCCGTCGCCGTCGTCGTTGTCGTCGTCGTCGCCCTCGCCATCTTCCCCCTTTCCCCGGGCCCTCTTCCTCAACCGATCCAGCCAATACGAAATCGAATCGAACAACGAAGGGAAACACCTTCCCTTGATCCCTTCCCCAGCGGGAGGATGTCCCCGGGCAACTCCCGGGGGGTGGTCCCGGCGGGTGGTCTCTGGAGGTGGTCCTGGGGGGTGGTCCCGGGGTGTACCCTGGGGCCCGTGGGGCTCCTGTTATTGTTTTGCCAATCCCGAATATGTGGCGGAGGATCCCCGGGACCTCCCCAAGAACCGGGGGGAGAGAGCCTCTCCTCCCTTCCCCCCAGCGTCCCCGCTTTGCCCCCCCTTCCAAGCGTCCCATGCTCCTCCCCCTGTCAACAGGAGGGAGCCCCTCCCCCCCACGGGCCAGTCCCCCCCTCCACAGGGGGGAGCGACCCCCCTTGGTCGTCGTCGTCGTCGTCGCCGCCGTCGTCGTTCAGGGTCGGCGGCACCGGCAGTAACGCCTCTCCAGTATTCAATTCGAAGCTATGCAAGCCAGTTTAGCCAAACACATGCAAGGCTATGAATGCAATGCAAAGCAAAGGAAAGCGATGCTCATAAGTCCAATGTGGATCACGAAACACTGCAATTGCACATACAACGGAAAGCAGCCCAGTGGAATGCAATGCAATCCAATGCACGATACGACAAAAGACCGAGAGAGTCCGAGGCGTCACGGAACTCAGAGATCCCAGGGACGAGCCGCCCTGGGAAGAGCCCAAGAGGACCCCAAGGGGAGCCCAAGACAGGGTCAAAGGGCACCCAAGAACATCCAATGAGTTCTCCGAGAGAGGCTAAGGGGGGCCCAAGTGTGGCCCCGAAAGAGCTCCAAGCAGGCTCCAGAACGAAGCACAGGAGGGCCCCAAGAGGCGCCCCAAGAAAGCCCGGAGATAACGACAGAAAGAGAGGGCCCAAGGAAGTGCATCCTCAGCGCGACAAAAAAAACGCAGAGGCCCACAATGAGCCCCAAGAAGGGCGTTCTCAACAGCCACATCCCTTGAGAAGGTCACAGCTCCACTGAAGCAGTGACCCACAACTGGCTTGAGCTCGAGGTGAAAAAGTACCGATCATGCGGATGGAAGCGAGACCTACGGCCCCAGATGAAGGCGGGGTTCACATGGCGCCCCCCCGTCACTTTCGGCACGGCACTCACACGGATCTTGTCCCCTTGGGAGCTCCTCTTTCGGGTCCAGGGACAAAGTTCGCACGGCGTCGCTCCGCCCATCTCGGCACACCCAACACACGAATCGTGCCCCAGAAGGGATGTCGGTTCACGTACGGCCTTAGTGTGGGGATTCGCATAACGTCACGTCCCCCCCACGCGTATGTCGACTGTCTCCTCACACGAATCGTATCAACAGGGAGCTCCACCGACGGTTCCAGCGCCAACGTTCGCATCCCGCCGCCCCGCCCATGGCAGTAAATACACCCCTGACCTGGATAGTGAGTTCGGGGCGTTTTGGGTGCTTCTGTGGGCCACGCGGCATGTTTCTGTGAGGCCTCTGAAGCCCTGAGATGGATCGTGAATCGGGAGCCTCTTGAAGCCTTTTCTGAGAGCCTCGTGCAGGACGTCGAAGCGAGACCTCCCATACGCTTACGGGTGACTACTGGGAAGCCTCCTGGGACCGTTTTGGGAGTCTCTGGGGGCCTCTTGGGACCTTCTTGGGGGTCCTTTTGGGGCTCTTTGGGGCTCTTTGGGGCCCTCTTGGCCCGTCCTGGGGCCCTCTTGGACCGTCTAGGGCGCTTGGGCCGTCTTGGGGCCCTCTTGGGCCGTCGAGGGTGCCTTCTGTGGCCCTCTTGGGGCTCCCTGGGGACTCTTTT